GGACAAACTGTTCAACTAAAGGATGCTGATCCAAGTGAGCTTCAGCTTTTTCGTGACAAGATGCCAGCCTCTGTCAAAGGTAAGAGTAAATAATTTCCAAAAATTGTTTAATTTTGGCTGTTGAACAAAGAGGCATGTGGTCGAACGTCTAGTTGTACATATGGATACAGGCAGATCAAGCTTATGGCGAGAGTAGTTGGTTTTTGAGTTGAGAGGCAGGTGCATAAGCCTCTGTACTTAGGTATGAATACAGGCAGCCCAAGCTTATGGTGATAGTAATGACGTGTAGTTTTTTTTTGGTTTTCGAATTGAGAGGAATATGGTTAAGCCTCTGTACTCATAAGTATAGGTAAGTACATAAATAAGCTCTCTATTAATTCCAATAACTAACGTTCAGGATTTCATATTGACAGTTAGATAAATAAAACAGCATTTAAAACGTTCAGTCCTAATTTGAAGAAGCACATAGGAGTGACCATGATTCCTTTAATATAGCAATCTTGTTTTACTGGGTGGGAGGAGATCTGTCAAAGGGCCCTCAGTAGAATTTGTGATGCTCTTCCACAAATTGTTATCTGAGGCCTCTACAAGGCTTAAAATGGGCATGCCCCCCTTAAGAAAGCCAAAACGAAGTGCCCTTTCCTGAAACTTATCAATTTTAGAAAGATACTTGTCATGACTTGAAACTCACCATACTGAAATGCCATAGGTAAAAGAGGTCTAATCAGACTATGGATGTGATTGTTTTAAAAAATAAGTCCAGGCTATAGCCATACTTCTTGCCGCACACTCACAATATGTGCACACTCCTTCCTGCCGTGCCGAGAAGAGCATCGATTTTATTATACTTGTTCCAGTTTGTAGGATTGCTATGAAAGTAAAAGCCTATTAAAAGGTTAAGAAATCAGGGCTGTGCTCTAGCAGAGCCCGGTGGCCCCTGGCGCCTAACTTTTGCCCGCGGGCGACTAGAAAATCTCAGATTTTTCATACAAATCATATGCTGGGCACCCTAGATTTTACAGTTTCAGAGCACTGGGCTCCCTTCAATTTTCCTTAGAGCACAGCCTTGGAAATACTGCCTCAAGTGTTGATATCTGGAGTAAAAAAGAACAGTATCCTTTCTTCTTTTACAAGGTTTTTACAGGGTCAAAACAGTCTCCCTTTATCAAATTATTTACAAGAAGTGTACACTGAGCTTCAGATCAGTCTCCTTTTCTGATTTACAATGTTTTTCCAGTACAGGGTCAAATCAGTCTCTCTTTTTCTTTTTCCAAGGTGCTTACGCGGCCAAATCAGTGTCTTGATTTACATGATGTTTACACTTTACTTACATGTTCTTAGAAGAAAGATTTACAGGCTATTTACAAAGAAGATACTGTAAACATTTTACACATTTTTACATGGTCTCCTATCCATTACTGCCCAAGGACACTGGCTGTAAATATTTTTTGCAGTAAATTTACATGGTGAGGGAAAACTGAAAATTGATGTAAATTTTATTTTACAAATCCTATCATGTAAATTGGAATTTACAAAACACGTAAATTGTAGTTTACAGGGTGTAATTTCATTTCTACGTGTGCCTCTAAATTTTCAACTTTTCCAGTGAAGAACAATTAAAGATCCAATTTAAGAAAGAAGGAAAACTTTACAGAGCACTGATAAAACGTCCGTCCATCTTGGTCAGCTCACGTGAACTTCGAAACCCTACGACAGACTTCAGCAAAATTAATAAGCCTCAGGAGCTCTTCAGTTTTAAATCTGCAAGTTGCAAGTCAATCGTGACCAGAGGACCCATAGAACTCGCTGCACAAAATCCTGGTCAAATTTAACCTTAAAAATGAAACGCTAACACATTAAGTTTGTAAAAGTTGACGCACAAATAGAGGAAGAGGGCCCATGGACTATCTCCTATCTGTAAGGATATTCTGCAAAGAAACTGAGTAATCAGCAACAGGCGTTCAGATAGTAGAGCGCAGCGGTAAGTGGGGAGCGAGTTAAGTTGCACACCGAGAAAACGAGGGCAGAGGGGGGAGGAACGGGGTGGGACGAGAGCGAGAGAACGCCTGTAAACATTGTTAACAAAGGGTCGTTCCGGTATACTGGATTCCAGTATACCCTCTTATTGGTCGATTATGACACCTTCTGTTAACACTCAAGCACTAGTGACATTGATGAGGAATGCGATATGGAGGGAGAGAGACGTCTGTTATCGAATCTCGCGGACATCGAAGCTACTATAAACAATGCAATCGAGCATTTCCCGTATTTTGGAATCAAAAAGAAGAGCAAAAAATTTGCTTGAATCTCGTTCGCTGAGGCCAGGACGTTTTCGCCATTCTTCCAACGGGCTCTGGGAGACCTTCACTTTTCTACTCTTTCCACGAATAATAAACGTAATTAAAGGAAAAGTTGGCGAGTCAATTTCCACGATCATCATCGTTGCGCCTCTCGCAGCCGTAATGAAACCAAGCTCAAGCGATTTGGAATAACAGCAACAACAGCCATAGGTTGGGGACAGGAGGAAGGCATGGACGAAGACACGCCAATGTCAGGCAATGTGAAAGGAAAGTGTGCGTGTAAGATCATTTCTGGAAGCCCAGAACGGCCAAAAAAAATCTTATTTGAAAGGTTATTTAGCCGCGATAAAAAGATGCTTTTTAAAACAGAGGTCAAAGAAAATCAGTACTTAACTGCATCTGGAATCAAATTCTTTCAGAAACAAACCGCAGGAAATAATTGCCCAGTATGCATGGCTGAGCTAACTCAACGGTCACGTTTCACACCATCATGAGCTTATGGGTCGCGTCTAGCCTGTCAGCACTTTGTAGTTCATGTCACAGTTGCGCGGTCGGCGGTCAGTTAAGGGCGGAAAGAGCTCTGTAAGGGAATGTTAACAGGCGTTCTCTCCCCCTTTAGTCTCCCCTCGTTTTTTTTTTTCTTCGTGAATTTTTCTCCCGCGCTCTACTATCTGAACGCCTGGAACAGGCTAATCAGCAACCTACGGCGAATACAGTTCGCAACAGAACCATAACATTCACAGCTCTCACATTTATAGTCATTGTAAAAGAGGTTCCCTTCAAAGGCTGAGCACTTAACCTCGTTTTGATACAGAGACCCGGGAGAAACTCGGAAATGGTCTATTTGTGCTAAAAATAGTAGATCTGACTATACGAGGAACTGATAAAATAACATTCCCCATTTGCGCACTTCTAATAGTACAGCTTGTTTGCCCTAAAAGTTACATAACCTTTGTTTTGAATCTCTCCTTGGTATTACAACTTAAAGACAATGCTTACCGCAAATGATCTAAAAGACGCCCGGGGCGTTTAATTAGTTTTAGGGGTCCAAGCCAGGGCGTTTAATAGAGAGAGGTGTTTATTCCAATAACCGTAAAAAGCTCAGCACAACTCAGTAATATGCTTCCGGCGAAAATATCAAGACAGTTAAAAAATAGGGGAATATCCACTACATCGATACGTCTGGGCCGTGTAGAGATCCCCATTACTTTTCCAAATCCCAACATCGATTTCAGAATCCTCACTTAGGGTTATTGTGTTGTCATCGTTATTACAATTATCCTACCAGAAGCCATAATCGGGGTGGGAGACTGTAACTGGACACCTTTTCCATTAATGTGGTTGGTTCCATCTAAATAGTTCATAGTCTAATATATTGTCAATTCAAATTTTTATTTCACTGACACAAAATATGCACGATTATAGGAATATAACAACCGTTCGTTCTAAACAATATGAATACAATCATGATTACATGTAGAAGAGAAAATGAATTATATGTTCAAATAATTACAAATTCAACATTATTAAAGCTTTAGAGTTGGAAAAGGAATTTGAAAAAAAGAGGAAATGTGAAAGAACTTTACTTTATACTTGTTGATTGTGTGGAGTTTGGGACACCTAAATAATTAATAAAACTAATCGAGTAGATGCCCCAACGAAAATAAATATGAGAAAAAGGAATTCAGTGCAGTGATATTGATTATGATAAAAAGTATTACTTCAATCATTTACTAACTTATGTTTAATTGACATTGTCATAAACTATTTTAAGAATTAATGGCACTACTATACCCGTCAATCATTTCAACTTATTATTTTGAGGAAATCTCGAAAAATGAGTAATTTGTTTAGCGTGAGCTGGTAGTGCATTCCAAACTTTCGCACAGTTATAACGAAGGGAGCGAATACCATTTTTTCTAGTTTGAGCTGGGCTTAAAAACAGATCAAGGTTAATCTATCAAAATGTAGAGAAACAAGGGACAGAATAGCCTGCGTAGCAGGCGCTTGGAAGTAGTGAGCGAAAGAGAGAACGGGCGCGCGAGGGAGACACGCGAGGTCTCGTTCTCACGCGCCTGTTTTTTCTTGTGCCCACTACTTCCAAGCGCCTGCTACGCAGGCTATGGACAGAAGATAATGGCTTGAAATAATCAGCAAAACAAGAAGGACGTATCTTGTGAAACCGTTCATAAATAAAAGAAAAAATTTCAAGATGGATTATATCACAAAATTTTACAATTGAGGGATTTAAACAAAGGTTTTGAATCATGAGATGCGGCTTTTAATATATGATAGTTACGTTTAGTGCAATTTAGTCATGTTTATGAGTTTTATCTCTATTTTTGTCTATTTTGTTTTATGTTAAGGTTTGAAATTTGTTAGTTAGAGCTCAATATGTTAAGCAACCCGCCTCGATAAGCTTGTCTTAGGCTATTTGCGCGCTCCTACTTCCAGTAAGTTATTGTTAGTAAAAGAATGGGAATAAATCATTGTTAATATATTGTTATAATTTCTGTCATCATGGTGATTTTAATTTTGGTTTTCTTTTTCTTCTTATGGAAAACAGCGAAAGTGCGAGATCTACGTGGAGAAAATGTGCAATCGCCTTCACCGGCTGGTGAACGTCAGGGACAAAATTCACCAAGGCAACTGAGGGAGATACAGCTACGTGAAGAAAATTTGCAGAAGCGGTTACAGGAGATGCAGCAACGCGATCGAAATTTGGAGAGGCAGTTATTGGAGACGAAGAAGCGTGAAGAAAATTTGCAGAGGCAGTTATCGGCGGTAACGCGATGTGAAGAAGATTTGAAGGGACAGTTACAGGAGATGCATCAAACCGACGTAAACTCACAAAGGCAGTTGCGAGAGATACGGCAACGCGAAGAAAACTCGCAAAGGCAGCTGAGGGAGATACGGCAACGCGAAGAAAACTCGCAGAGGCAGTTGAGGGAGATGGTGCAGCGCGAAGAAAATTCACAAAGGCAGCTCTGGGAGATGCAGCAACGAGAAGAAAATTTACAAAACAGTTAAGGGAGATGCAGCAACGAGAAGAAACCTCGTAAAGGCAGTTGAGGGAGATGCAGCAACGAGAAGTAACCTCACAAAGGCAGTTGAGGGAGATGCAGCAACGCGGTACAAACTCACTAAGGTCTTCGAGGGAAATTCAGCAACGACTGGAGAACTTTCAACAACAGGTGTCCATCTTAGAAAGACAGGTGAGAGAAAAAGACCAGGAAGTTAATGAACTACAGTTAAGTCTTTCGTCAGCCCAGCAAACAATAAATGACCTACAACGACAGGAAGAATGCGACTGGGTCATTTCCCGCGATGAAATTCAAATGACCTACAAATGCCTTGGCAAAGGAGGCTGGGGAAGTGTTTATGAAGGTGTGTATTGTGGCTGTACTGTAGCAGTGAAAAAAATGCATGATCTGATTCGCTCCCCTCTCAACATACGTCTTTTCGAAAGAGAAATGAATATTGCGTCCAAGTGCCGCCATCCTCACTCGCTTCAGTTTATCGGCGCCACTAACGATAAGGGAAACGCTCTGTTTATTACGGAGTTGATGGAAGAAAGTCTAAGGTCTCTGTTGGAACAGCGTAAGCTCTCTGAAACAGAAATACGTACCATTTCTTTGGATGTAGCCCGCGCACTGAACTATCTTCACCAGAAGAAACCAGAACCCATCATTCACCGGGATGTCAGCAGTGCGAATGTGTTGCTATGGCGACAGGATGACCAATGAAGAGACAAAGTGTCAGATTATGGCACTGCTAATTTCATGCAGCAGACCATGACGGTGGTTCCCGGAGCTATGATTTACAGCGCCCCTGAAGTAGTTACATCGAACCAGACAGTGAAGGTTAGTTTCACTGCATTTAGAACTTTTAAATTCAATAGCGTTTAACCAACATCTTTTAGACCTAGAAGAAAGGCGCTACTGCGTTGATCGTGAGTGCTTAGGACTTTAAGGCCTGGTTGGTCGTTTACTCACACGAAAGAAACCCTACTCCACTATATCCTTCTTAAGCTAGGTGTACAATAAGAAGTAGCAAAATAATCTTGATTATTATGGTCATTTTCCACGAGTTTATGCCACGAAAACAAACTTAAGCTGCAGTCGTGTGCTGTGATTTAAATTTTGACAGCTAAAACTGATAGAGTCGAACCTTTTTACAACGACCTCTTTTGAGAGGAAGTGATAACGTCACCGCTCAGAAAGGTGCCCGTTATAAGGGGGTTGGGGGGGCGGGGTTGGGGTGTGTAAAGTGACCTCTTGTGTATTTATTTTTGTTTCTTGGCAGTGGGAGGAGAAGTTTACCGCACCTTTGTAAAAGACCATCCTTATCTATACGCACCACGATCAGAAAGCAATACAGAACCAAAAAATTTCCATAAGAACGATGTTAGCAAAACAAACTGAGTAGGGTACAGAGAGTTCATTCAGCTGGGGCGCAGTTTACAAGCTTTTGTTAAGAGGGTAATCAATAGTAATTTATCCTCACTGCATGTCTGTTGTCGCATCACGGCAAACTAAGTTCATTGTTATGAAACTAAGTTATGGGAAGAATCCACGACGGTCTTGGCAAAGATATGCAGCTAGGTTTGATGATGTGGTAACCGGCACCAGGGAAGTTGGTAGGTGCGAAAAGCGCCTCCTGCAGGCACAACTTCACATCAGGCTTTCCAAATTTATGGCAGAAGACTGCAAAGGATTATAATCGTCCCCGATTGCCGAGAACTCTGAGACTGGTAGAACGCAGGCATGTCCCCGAAACGCTCTTATTACATGTGCGGTGAGAATAGTTGCCTTAGTCTGCACTACACATTGTAGGAGGTGCGAACAGGAAGTACAAAATGTATATTTACAGTGCGACTACTGTAACCACGGCCTCTTAGACAAAGTTGACCAATCTTATTACGGGAAAACAACACTACATTCCAAGAAAGTTGGTTGTGAGCTAATCAGCAGCTCGTAAAAAAAAAAAGACAAGTTACTCGAAGCACAAAATTAAATATTAATAGCAAACGTTTTTCAAGAAAGTAAAATGTGTGACCATACAATGTTTTTCCATTCGAAACTTTGCATACGATACCCAGGAGACATATATCTTTGACACAAACAGTTATTTTGTCATCTACCAGCAATTTCTTCGCGGCTATTTCCGTGCTTTGCAACAGCATGCGACCGTAAGTCAAAAATATATTTATCGTTTACGTTTTTTGCCTCCGTTACTCACTCTAAAACAAGTGCTTTCTTCAGTGGGTTCAAAAGGTCACCTCGGTAGGTTGTAATTGGTTGATTTCGATTCGTGTTGTTTCTTTCGTTTCGTGGTAATTTTGATTGACAACTAGCTTTCTCGGAATGTATTGTTATTTTTCTATAATCTGATTGGTCTACTTTGTCTAGGTGGTCCCGGTTATAGTAGTCGCACTGCAACAATTATTGAATAAGGCTTGAGTGTGATGTAAAGAACTATGCAGATCGAGGAGAATGTAACCGAGGTGGATAACAGCCTCCGAGGTAATTCTTATCATTATACCAGTAATTGCTATTGTGAAAAGAATAATGATGGCTGCTTTAAGGCAAATAACAACGAATAATGTGTGTATCGTTCATAGGTTGATGTTTATAGCTTTGGTGTTCTTCTTTGTGAAATATGCGTCCGAGAACTTCCAGATCCTAGAAGGCGTGAACAGCAAGTTCTTCTGATGACGAACCGCTCCTTAAGAGGCCTGGTACGGCGATGCCTGCAGACAGACCTTGGGGCGAGACCAACCATGCAGGTGGTAATCGATGAATTATCCAGAGCTGTGCAACGTCTATAAAATATTTTGTGAAAACTTTCGTAGTTAATAGAGTTGAATTTTTAAGAATGTTTAGTGCGTCAAGTCGTGGCCAATCGTTTATCGTGACAAAGGTAATTTACAAAAGTGTTTCTAAAATAAAATTACCCACGTTAAAAGCAAACAACTTATATATATTTGAAATAGCGAGGTCTTCTCTGTAAAATTTTAGTAATGATATACCCAAAAGTCATACATGGTATTATTTACCATCGTGGTTAATAGCAATTTGTTTTTTGAGTAGCGTTGTTTAAAAAAAGTTACTTAGGTCCTGGAGAAATCCCCTGAGACGTTAGTGTATATCCTAAGCTTGCTTCCAATATGATAGTTTAATTGAAACAATAAAAAACAAATGGCTCTATTTTTACATACATTTATTCAGATATTACTTTCTTTTGAAGAAGGCCATACACACGAAGTAGACAATATTTGTTAAAATTTTTTTATTATATTAGAATTAAAGATACGAGGACATATAAGCTGCCGTATCATCACGTGTCTTGTCTTTATTGTATTCACCTTAACCTGTGCTGAAGGCAAGCTCCCTAGACTTTGTACATCCTTGGCGAGTCTGAAAAACAAGAAATGTTGTCCAATCCCAAAAGGTTTTAGAGCCCCATTTGGTAATGACGGAAACAGAGGTACACGCCAGGAATTGGTCATTCCTGATTGGTCCCTCAAGTACAGTCATTACCAACCTTTCCAGGAAGACGACGAGCGCCATAACTGGCCTCATGCTCTTTACCATAAAACGTGCAAATGCAATTCAAACTTTGCTGGACATGACTGCAGTAAGTGCGAGTTTGGCTACTATGGCAAAGACTAGGCACACAAAAAAAACCCTGACTCGCAAAAATTTCCTCAAGTTGTCAGCCCAGGAGAAGGATCAATACATGAGGTACATCAACATGTCCAGGTACTACTTAAGCAATTATGTGGTGACTTTGACACCATATGAAGAGATCAACAAAACCGTGACCCAACAGCACTCTTTCACAACATCAGCAACTATGACTTGTTCGTGTGGATCCACTCCTACGCTGCACGAGGCACCATTTTCCCACATAACATGACACGGGGAGATATTGACTTTGCGAATGACGTGCAGGGGTTTCCTACGTGGCATCGACTGTATAATACAGTAGAATAGGTCCTTAATAAATAAATAAATAAATAAATAAATAAATAAAGTTTTAGAGGTAGCAATTCCACTAATCGAATCGAAATTTGGAAATGTTGGTTTTTGAAGAGAGGAGAAAACCAGAGTACCTGGATAAAAACCTCTCAGAGCAAACGAGAGAATCAACAATAAACTCAACCCACATATGTTAAAAGTGCTAGCCAGTCCAACAAGTCTGGAAAGGCTATTAGAATCTCAAAGGTTTGGCTACATTTTTGCTATTTTAGCCTAAGGTGGCTGATCACAGTTTTGTTAGCTGTCAGAGGTAACTCGCGTAATGGCGCGTGTTTTAAATTGGACAAACAAACATGGCTGCGAAAAAGCAATGGTACGCAGAAAACGATTTCTAAAAATCTACTCATTAAAATTTTCTGATATTTTACTTTAATCCTACTTTAAATAACGAGAACTTTAAAATGGAAGTTGAACAAAGGAATTTTGTCACTCATTTAATAATTACAGCGTAATTATATTATTGATTATCAAAAAATTCTTCTGTTAAAATTTGGTCAAATAAGTTTCAAATGGTGATGATTAATTGTAGTAAGCTGTGTGCAAGGTTATAGGAAAATCTAAAGAACGAATTTTATGTAAACTGAGCAAAAGTGAAATTTTACAATTGTATTTAATCACTCGTGTTGCCATGGAAACTACGAAAAAATCAAATTTTACCTGTCAATCAAAATCTTTCAGCAGTATATTTTTCACTTGCCAAGTTTCAGCTTCTGAGCTGCAACCTTTCTCTTGCCATTATTTGGCAAAATACATATACTCATGATCACAAACTGCCAAAACTGTGTTCAGCCACCTTAACTACAACCTGAGTAGCAGGCGCTTGGAAGTAAGGGGCTCAAAAAAGAACGGGGCGCGGGAGGGAAACACGCCATTTTCTCTCTCCTCAACTGTCTCTTTCGCGCGCCTCTTTCTCTCCTGCGCCGTTACTTCCAAGCGCCTGCTACGCAGGCTACCATATTTATAACTATATATAATTAACCTTTGGTCGCAATTAATCGGCCATTGGCAGCCTTGTATTCATCATCAATAGGAGACAAGCTCAATCCCAACTGTAAACGCTTACTGTCTAAAACAGTAGTGGTAGTGGTAGTGAATTATTTTGGTAAAAGTACGTTCCTTAAATGAAAATATATATTAAATACAGCTTTTAATTTCCTTGCGCTGACACGGAAAGTTGTCCGGTATATTGTGAAGACTGTGAACACCCCCGCTATCCGATATGTAACTCAGTCTCCACTCTAGGTATCCGCGCGGCGCAGTTTCGCTCCGTTACAGAAATCGCGCCGAAAAGAAATCACTGTTCTCATGTGTGAACAGAAGCCCTATCCGTTATGGTTTTCGCGCCGGCGCAAAAGCTATCCGGTATTAATAGTAATGTGGACATTAAAGCCAAACTTACGCCGTCTGCCGGACAAGTAGAATCCGATGCAGTAACTGTCCTGCGAGCAAATGCGCCTGACTTTGTGTCCTTTGGCCACTCGATACCAATATATAGCCATTTCAAAACCAACTTCACGGCACTTAAGAGACTGTTCCATGCTGATGCGCATGCTAACCATGTGGAGTTGTTTCCTGCCGCATCTCGCTGGATGATTAATTGTTTGGCTGCGGTTGGATGTTTCCATGACTTGTTGATCATAATCGAAGAGTCAGCTTGTGGTTGGTTTGCATCAACTATGTCCATTTGTTCCTCGTCCATTTCC